GGCGGTTGACACCTACTACAAATACCCGGCAGCACCCTTACTGGTTGACCTGACCTGACCTGACCTGACCTGGCCTACATGCATAAGGACATCATCTGTGATCTAAACCAACATGATATTCATGATCAGCGCCCCGAAAAAAAAACAGCAGCCACCCTTTACGATGTTCTTGCAGGTCCCGATTTTCCCGACCTTTGGGTCATTGACCTGACCTAGAAGGTCAACCGATGACATAGGACCTCAAAATTTGGTATCATCGGCTTTCTCTCGTCAAGGGCAATACGCTCGTTTTTTTCCGCGAAGCTCTAGCTCGATCAGGGGCCAAACGCCAGGGAGGTCGTACCCCCCCCCCCCCCTTGTGCCGTCGAAGGACGCAAAATGGCCTGTGCCGGCGAGGGTTAAAGTATAAATTACCTTATGAAAAGGCTACTTGAATATGGGGCATGGATGTATGCAGCGCAGATAACTAATGACATTCAGGTACTCAGATTATTTTTCAAAGAAAGGAGCAAAATAGAGCAAAAATTAACCGGAACATGTAAGCCATTACCACGAGTTTCCAAAAACTGTAAATCTTTTATTAATTTTCGTTTTTAACCCTTGTATATTCTGCCATGACAAGTCTACGACAAAGGGGAACAGGCAGTGATGTCGTTCATTGCATTCTCTAGTTTTGCCAAAAGTGTATAGCTACCAAAAACGAATGATTCCGGGAAGAGCCGGCATAGGTACTGGACGTCAATATTTTGGGCAAAGAAAAAAAAAACAGCCTCCACTGCAGTAGCTTCTGATTTTAATATGTCACGAAGAAAATATAACTGTTGAACGCATCTCCAAAGTCGCAGCGAGAAGGGACTTGCCTGAATTGTGAGCTCGAAGATCCTGTCAGTTATATGCAGTGAGATGATAGTTGCTGCTGCGAGAGCGTCGTCTCCGAGCGTATCGTCACCAACTCCCACCTTTTCCTGCACCACTCTCCGCCGAAAACTCTCACAATCCACTGACAGTCCACTGACACCACCACCGGCATGTTCACTGTAGGCGCAACTGCCACCGACTGCTGCCTTGAAAATGGCGTCGAAAACGCACGTGCATCAGTGCCGCGATGGCGGCAAAACTCTTTCAATAGGAGTTTCAGGTCTTTTTTTGGAGTTCAGTTACTCTTCTTTTCTTTTGACTGTCCTCTCTGTTCTTCGTTAACTCCCTTTGCGGTGAATTACTCTGCATTGCGTACTTCCAAGCTTATTCGAACTGTCACAGCAGAGTAACAAAACTCCGACCGGATTTGTATACTCCGAGCGGTTATGCATGGGGAGTAAGTGAAATCCCAATCTCTTTCCTTTACTCCGACAGATAAAGTGAGGTACTTTTATTACTCTTCCTCGCCATGAAATACTCCAAAATGAATGGTATATGAACACCATCAAAAGGAGTTTTCAAAAAAAGGTGTATGTAAATCTCTCGCGGAGTAAATATTTTTTTCCGTGTAGTAACTACACCTTTTAAGTAAGTGGAGTAATTGTACTCTAAGCTCAGGGTTAAAAATGAAACCACTTTACTCTTTTATTTGGAGTGAATATTTTCTCAGTGTATTGGCAACAGCCCGGTTTCCATGGGTTCCTGTGATCCGGATCAGTAGCCTGTAACGAAAGGATCGAGAAATATTATTATAACCATTCTCCTGTCCTGAGAAAAGTCTGGAAAAACGTTCATTTTTTACATTTAGCACGCACACTGATAAGACTTCTCTGATTTTAGATCTTAGGAAGTGAATCATGACGATATAAATAAAGGAATTGTTATGTTTTATCATGGAAATCAGTAAGTGCCAAAGCTATAGACACGCGTATGGCATCGTTTCTGAGATGCACGTTCCCCTCCGCCGATCGCATACTGCGACTGACCATTCGAGCTGAGGAGATGAGACCCAGTCCTGCAGGCTCACCTGGCCTTGGTTCCATGGTGCCAGCTGTAAATCTCCGCCCGTCTATCTAATCTGTATGCAAATCCCATCCCTGATACATCCTCATCCGTTGCTGCTTTGCCTAACACATTTTTACCTATTGTATAGAAGATGTCCGCTTCCTGAAAGTATTGGCAGCGTTTCTATGGTGCGCTTCCTTCTGCGGTTACATTGGCTCCATCCACACCGCGGTTTTATGCTCACCTGCTGCGTAAATATGCCTGAACATGAAAAACTGTAAACTAACTACTAAACGGTTGTTTCGCGGATTCTTTCCTTTATGTCGCATTTTTCCGGTTGTCAATCGCCGTTAATGGCTGCTCAGAGCCTCTATTGTACGTGAATCACTGTCTGGGCTTGGCCTAAAACTTAAAACTGGTCGTCTCTGCGACTACCTGTTGTCTGTCGCTAATCTTCAGCGATCCGTTACAGTTATGGCCATGTAATCTGCGCGAAATGCTAGTTTTCACCGTTCCTGGCTGTAACAGCAGCCTGTTGAACACCCGTGCAGCTGCCGCTAGCCCGTTCCACATACGCAGCACCCGTCGCGTAGTATACGACTGAAGCCGGTCGCATGAGAACGAGCAGATCGCCTCACCTCATGACCTCGAACCTGGAATCCACCCACCCCTCACTGCCATCCCTCGCCACGGGGCGCGGACAGGTACCGCCGAGTGACCGCAGAGGCACAGACGGGTCCACAGATCTCCACAGAGGCACAGACAGGTCCACCGATAACCGCATCCACGGCTCGAAGAGTCACCGCAGACAGGTACCGGCGTTGACCGCACACAGGTCCCGGCGGTCCCGAGATAAGTGACCACAGGGACTGCTTCTGGTCTCTGGTCCGGGTGCCCGGCGCATTCCCGATGTCCGCTCGGTGAGCTGCAGCCTCCTGGCTCCCCGGGCGGCTCCCCGGGCCAGCCTCCCGGCTCCCCGAGCGCTGTCGCACGTGGCACGTGCGTCTGACGGTGGCCGCCGCGGTCCGTCTGACGGTGGCCGCCGCGGTCCGGTCCGTCTGACGGTGGCCGCCGCGGTCCGGTCCGTCTGACGGTGGCCGCCGCGGTCCGTCTGACGGTGGCCGCCGCGGTCCGGTCCGTCTGACGGTGGCCGCCGCGGTCCGGTCCGTCTGACGGTGGCCGCCGCGGTCCGGTCCGTCTGACGGTGGCCGCCGCGGTCCGTCTGACGGTGGCCGCCGCGGTCCGGTCCGTCTGACGGTGGCCGCCGCGGTCCGTCTGACGGTGGCCGCCGCGGTCCGGTCCGTCTGACGGTGGCCGCGGCGGTCCGTCTGACGGTGGCCGCCGCGGTCCGTCTGACGGTAGCCGCCGCGGTCCGTCTGACGGCAGCCGCCGCGGTCCGGTCCGTCTGACGGTGGCCGCCGCGGTCCGTCTCACGGTCAAGGCCAGTCTGTGGCTAACACCTGCATTCTGCGACTGGTGTGGCGTGTCCCGCAGGCAGAGCTGAGCTGTCCTCCGGTGCGGGCGATCCGATGGGTGCAGCCGAGCTGGAGACCGCAAACGGTCACCGTAAGCGCATAAAGCGCTGTGGAACGTCCGGTTTAGAAAAGTGTATGGTATGAAGAGTGATTTACATGGCATCAGAACGCCCTTAGATATGTCCGCGTCTGATGGCACCTACGATACATACGGGAACTGAGCTTTAGGACATGTTAAATGCAAATAACTTCAACTAATTCAGCTGCTTAGAGAAGGATCAGTAACCACGGCGACCAACGGATTTCGATGTCTGAACGAAGGATAAGTACGTAGTCAAAACAAGTATTCGGACTGTTACAGTCAAAATAAAAATAAATCCCAGCATCCCCACTCCCCAGTAATATGGTAAATCCGGGTTAAAACCGGGCTTATTCAACAATGGATGGTAGAAGCTCGGAGCTCACTCCCGTGGAATATGAATACATGTAGCAGCTTCGGATGTCCTACATGTATTGAAGCGTAACTACACAAACTGACTGACGTTCCGGGGGGGGGGGGCGGGGGGTGTCGGGCAATGCCCTTGGCCGCTAGAACCACTGCAGCACAAAGGTCGGCATAAAACTAGTGTCACTGTCGGCCCCGCCACACCGGCGCGGCGCGTCGGCGCCGACACGCGGCCGGCTGTGCAGGCCTGCACTGACGGACGGCTCGGCCGGCACTGCGGCAATTAGCCGCCCGCTCATTTAATCAGCGGCGGCGGCACGTCACAGCGCCCCCGGCCGGCGCGTGTCGCGTGACGGCCACGTTACGGTCACGGGCGGGCCGCGTTACGGCCGGCTACCGTGCGCGCACACCGTCTCGGCAGAAAGGGTCGCCGCGGCGGCAACAAGTGGGCCAGAGCGTGTGCCGCCGGCGCGTCCAAGGCTCTTCCGTGGTGGCGGCCGATGGCCCTACCACTGAGTGGTCGGGCGGGCGAGCGACTAACGCTCGCAGTAGAATGAATGGCGCGGCGCAGCGACCGTCCGCAGTACGCACGAGCGGTGTGGCTGAGATATGGCCCCTCCGCCACGCTGATGGGTCGGTCCGCGGCGCGCCGGGCTTTCTCGCGTGCGCAGCCGGTCTGAATCAGACGGAAGGCTGCAGCCGGGTTCATTGTCGAGATGTGGTTGGTTTCACTTCGCATACAGTACCAAGGCTACGGTACACCGGAACTCAGTTGGCCCAAGACAGGCCTCCGCATTAGAGGGCATCATACTCGGAACAGGAAGACAAGATCCGGATGCAAGAGAGGCATAATCCACCGTATTCATAACACAATTTCTAATAATATGAAATGTGATCAAGTGTATAGTCACTAGTCAGAGACCCCAACTTCGAAGTGATACGGTTCCGGGGGTCATAGCTTTGGCTTCCCTTCATGAATATGTACTAGATGACATGAAGGGCCCGCTTGTCCATCATACCTTGCAGAGAATAATTGACATAATCCGACAGGCTTGTGCCCAATTTATGTGTGTCGTTTGTCGCTGCAAGATCTTGTTGCTTTAGCCGCTGTCCCTGCTAGCTCTCAGTAGTTTTGACGTCACAAGCCTGCTCTGACGTCAGACACGGTGCCTTTTGATGGCAGCGTTCCGTGACGACGACATCGGTGACGACCTGACCTGCGTCATGAAGATCCACAAGGAGCACCAGCGTCTGCAGGGCAACGGCTTCCTCGCCTGGTGAGTGTAAGACACATGCGCACAATCAGCTTGCCAAGTGCTCTCTAATGCTCTGGAGGCTGCCCAGGAATACTCATTGACTGCTCGTAGATATCACATGACGCCACAGCTAGTGTGCCGAGTTGTTCTCGAGCGTATCCGCTCAATTGATGTCAATCACCAAGCTCTATAATAAGCAGAGGGTGACGCATCCGGTAGTGGGAAGTCCACAGACGGTTTACTATCGGCAGCGGTCTTAGGCATATCCTGGTGTGAGGTATCCTTCGTTATTTGTCAAAGGACCAGATGAGACCCCACGCCGCCACAGTACCAAACCGCTAACTGACCGTGAACAACCGCCGGGCAACGGGTACCGATTAGCGGATCAGCGCAAATTACTTTTACTGCCGACATGAATCGCGTTTACGACCTGACTTGGTCCTGGTGTAAGTGAACTCATCGAGTCAGCCAGCAGGGTGTGTGGTCTTGGAGCCCCTCGAGCTGTACATTGCTTTGTGTCGTTCCTGGAGCTGTATGACTGACCGGACTTTTTGCAGGGTGGCCTGGAAGCAGCACTGCCAGCACTCGGACCTGTCGTCGTACGTCTCCGGCTGTGACCGAGTCACCACCAGCACCACGCAGCGGCCGACCACCACCACCACAACGACCACTCGGCGACCGACAGCGACCGGGAGACCCTCCGTGCAGGACTTCTACAGAAACCCGAGCAAGACGAACGCGCACACGCACTTCAACAACCTGGCGCCGCTGGCCAACCTCCTGGTGCGCGGCGCACGGCCTCAGAAAGGTAGACTCCAGCCTTATGTCAGGCAACACTCGGGGGCGGGAGGAAGCCGAAGGGAGGACAGAGTGTTTCAGCCTTCAGAGGCTAATGGTCCCTTTACATCGCAGTCGTCCCCTTTCTCAGCAAATCCGTTTGCCCGGAATGTGTTCTTAGGTTCGACAGACAGCGAAGCTGATGCAGTTGACGACCACCCTCATCCCTTCGCTGACAACATATTCCTTACTGAGAATTCGGATGGCCCAGCAAGCCATCCTTTTAAAGAGAACGTGTTCCTAAACGGTGATCGTGTCAGCGAGCCAGAAACCTTCGTCACAGAAAGACCCAGACCCCGTTCCACGACTACTCGTCGACCTCCGTCCGATAGTTTTATTCCGCTGTGGTCGGGTTTCGGTGGCAAGCTATCCGAGATCGCTTCTCGGCCAAAAACCGCCATCAGACCGACATTTAAACCTCCTAAGACAACACGTCGGCCAAACACCACCCGCCGCCCGATGACCACACGTCGTTTACGAACCTCACCCCCACCAACCACCACCGTAGCTCCCCGGACTACCAGAAAGTCCTTCACTCCTCGCCGATTCACCACCCGCGCTCCGCTGACCACCAGGAAGCCCAGGACCACCCTCCGTCCAAAAACCACCCGCAGACCCAAGCCGACGCGGCGGTCGTTCACCACGACTCGCCGGCCCTCCACATACCGTCCGCCGGGCGGGGACTGGATCCACCTGTGGCCGGTCACCACCCGCAGGCCGAACAGCCACGCCTGGAGCACCCCGCTGACCACCTACCGACCGTCGATATTCGACAAAAACGGCAACCTCCGCGTCACGCCGAGTCCATGGCCCGGTCGCTAGGTCACTGGGAGGTCCGTGACCTGTAGGCTCAGAGCAGCCGGACGTCCAATTGACTGCTCAACACCGTGCCTCATCGTTCGTGTGTATCAACACCATCAACCCGATACGAATGCTCAGCTCGCTTGATTGGTTATGAAGAGAGGTACGCTCGATGCCTGAGGCATCGGTGGGTGCCAAACCGAATGTTTGTGTGCGTGTAATGATTTTTTTATCTGCAATTGCATTGCATCATGTGCTTTTATAATGCCGCAACACTGAGGGCATTACTGAAAAAAATCAGCAGATTCCGTTCGATTGTCACACATGACATTGACAGTGCTTTTTGTGTTTTAAATTCATGACTATTGCTCATTTATCCATAAACAACGCATTACCGTTGTTGTTTTGCTGCGCCCGAGAAGGGAGCAGCGGCTGAGACGGGTATCAATTGACAGCTCCACCACACTGGACCAATGTCAAATGCTGCCTTCATCGGCATTCGGTTAAGCATACCTACAATTAAATGTAGCTCAGCTTTGTCGTTGCTTTGCGATTGTATCGTAACCATATTCATTCATTAATGCCTGTTGCCATTTAATAAATCGACATGAAATGTTTGATAATTTGTACTTAGGGTAAGATACGTGCTTATATAAAATGTTCCTATACCCAGGAGATTCAGCAACACAACATGCGCGAATTATGTAGGGTCTCAACCGTCACCAGCAACCTGACTGCACTCTGCCCTGCTTTCAGTGTGACCTGACAACTAAATGACGGACCCGCCAGCAACGCTTGCCTCGCTACAGCTTCTGCCCAGCATAGCTTTCTCGCAACAATGTCAGCAGACAGTCGCACGCTTCGACAATGCAATGGACCTGCGACGACGTTACGTTTATCTGAACTCGACCCGCGTCTCGCTCTGAAGTCCGTACAAGCATCCTTTACTGATCACAGACTGCCGCTGCTCAATGGAAGTCTTCTTCAATAGTCCATTACCAGCTAGTTTTCCTTTTTCCTCTTTATTTCACATCTATCTCTGCTTTCATCCGTCTCTTCCCCAGCCGCCACCCTGCTGCTCCACCGCTCTGCTGAACCGCTTTCCCCAGCCTGCACTTCTCGCTGTGACTCGGCCTGCGACTATCGCTGCGCCGGACCGCGCCTCTCGCTGTGACTCGGCCTCTCGCTGTGACTCGACCTGCGACTATCGCTGCGCGGGACCGCGCCTCTGCTGACCCGGCCTCTCACTGTGACTCGACCTGCGACTGTCGCTGTGCCGGACCGCGCGGTGACCAGTCTCGCTTTGACGCTAACGCCGAGCAATTACGTGAGCAGCATGTCCGACGTGGTCGACGGGATGTCACTGCCGTCGGCTGGCAACTGTCAGGGAGCGGCGCTCGGACCGGACGACACTCGGGCGACCGGACCCGGACAGAGGGGACGAGGAAACGGACGGGAGAGGACGAGGACGAAAGACTGACTGGCGAGGACCAGACGGAAGCGAGGGGACGAGGATGGGACACTGGTGGCTGAACGAAGGACAAGTCGGACATATTAGAAGTTTTGAATGACTTTGCTAGCAGAGATTAGAGGGGACAGAGACGCGGAGACATGTGATTATGTGGAGGTAGTGGCGGCTGTGCAACCAGGCGTCGACTTGTGATTCGGTCAGCAGTAAACTGAAAAATACAGCTTCCAGACGTCGATAGTTGGGGGTGGAAAAATTGGCGTCATGCTAGCCGAGGGGTCGATAGACCTCAATAAGATCAGCTACGGCAGCTGGATCTTTTTTAAGAAGGCTCCCTTTAGCGAGTCTCCTTTTGAGTTGTTGGTAGGTATATAACGAGTTTGACATTTTTTAAAGTGTTTTGCTGGCGTCAGACCAAAATTTCGATGGGATTTCTGCCTCAACAGCTGCGAAATCACGTACTCTCACGCTGCTGTAGCATGCCTCCCTGTGCTAGAGAATATTGACCCCAGATGGGTTTGGTGACGCTTTCTGACCTTGCGAAGAAACCATGACAAGCATGACTGAATTGTTTTGAGCTTGGTAAAACAGCTGTGTAAGCCGCACTTTCTTTTCGCTACTGTGCGGCTTTTACCGTGTAATCTTGTCACGCCACCGCACCGCACCAGTCGGGGATAAGAGCGTATACCGTCTACTTTTGTGGTGTGGACTGTGTAGTGTTATGAGCCGTGTCCCGCGGTGTCTTGTTTTTGTTGTTGACACACGTGTTGAAGGCACGCCTAGCCGATCGGGGAATCTACAGACCAACATCGGTGCAGTGGGGCATCACCGAATGGTTACAGCCAAGAAGACAAGTGCGGAAATACATTTCTTGCAATGCAATTTGAGTCTTTTGGTTTGTGCGTTTGCTACATGTGTGTTTACTTCTGGTTTATACAAACTTGACAATTCATTGGATGGAAAGTAACTCGGGGAAGGAAAAATGTCATTTTATTTATTTTTTCTGGCGCAAATTAATTTCGCAGAGCCTGTTAAGCCTGAAACAGACTCTTTCCGCAGCTAGGAAATCGCATGCGAGAGCCTATTCAAGTACATGGAAGCATGCGCGCATCAATCGCACGCACTTCCCACATGCGATTGATGCGGGAAGAATCATAATGTATTTGAATAGGCTCTCGCATGCGATTTCCTGAATGCGGAAAGAGTCTGTTTCAGCCTTTAGTGTCTCTAAGCCAATAGTCGGTGGTGGGTAACGTTATTCAGAACCGGAGGTCCCAGCATTTCATCTTCCGAGTGGCGTCGCTGTCGCGTGACATTTAGACCGCGGCCGTCGTCTCTCGGTCCGGCCTCCTGCCTATGAAACTGACATAAAGACGCTCGTTTGGAATAGGCGATGAGCTGAGCAGACCTGCAGCGTGAAACTGTCGCGAGCGTCGTGAATAAGAGGTGCTCCGTTGAAGAGCTCGTATACCAGCAGAACGCGCTTCATAGGTGTACCTGCTTCACACCGCTGTCCGGTTGACAAATAAGGTGACCGTTAATAGGTATGTTAACATCAAATTAGCGAATGTGTGTGTCTGTTCCGAACTTGGATAAAATATGAGCGAGCCACGCCCTCATAACCAGAAGGCGGAGTTACGACATTTTTACTCTGCCGGAAGCATCCCATAACTCAGCGGAGACAACTCAGAGTCGGCCAACACGCGATCCTGGCGCCCGGCGATATTATATACTGGTACCGCAGAGAAGGGAGACTTCATTTCATTTCTCATCACTAGTCCCGTTTCCACTGATAGTGAATTGCTATTATAACTATAATCGCTATTATCGCTGTTACCTATAGTTAACGGAAGCACTTTAGATCAACGATTTTTAAAATTATTCACTGCAAATTAGGTAAACGTTATTTCACATTTCATTAGATAGTCTTCACAGTTCACACCTATTAGCAAAGTTTTTGTTTTGTATATTCATGTTTTAGTAGCATTCACTATCCCCTTATTATAATCTGTTCACGTTCCACTTCAATTTTCAAATGACAGTTTTCAGTTTTTTTAGCTTCTCTGAGTTCTGACATATGCATTATGTAGACATCTAATATCCAGGGCGCTAAAGAGTCCTAATATCTGGCCGTGCTGCATTATCCAACTGACAGTTGACACAAGTTATCTTCTACCAACAGACGCTCCTATGTTCAGCTTCCAGTCGTCCTGTATTCTGTAAGTAGGACTGACGCCGGGTGTCAGTCAGTTTCCCGTCCTGCAGACCAGTGCAGTGCATCTGTAGGACGGGTCCGTCCGTCCCCGGGCCACTCCCGGCCGTCCGAGCAGCCTGCCGTCCCGCGGATACCGCCGTCACCATGAGTCACGGCTCGCTCCGACCCAATCCCCGCCGCCGCCGCTCCATTGAACCAATGACGCCGGTTGTCGTGCAGCACATCATCACACACAATCAGCTGCCGCTCAGCTCTGGTCACCGCCGCGCAGATCAGAGCAACTGATCGCCGGTATAGGCGAATCGTACCCGGCGGGCAGCCGGCAGATTTGGGAGGATCTACCCGAATCGGTCGCGGTGGTGGAGCCTGCGGAGGCCTAATCACCCCAAATTGCCGGCGCCGTTGATGGAGATTTAAGCACGCAGCTCGTCGCATTGTGCGCGGCTTAGCGTCCGCGCCCGGGGCGGCGTGTCTCCATTGACGGGCGCGCAGGAGCCGATGTCACCTGGTCACGTTCCCAGACGGGCAAGTTTTGTAATTCCGCCGGATTTCACGCCGGTGCCGGCGCTGGGAACGGAGCGGTACACACCAAAGGGAGTCCATCGATTCCGGGCGCGCCGCCGGCGGCCGGGAGCCGAGGGCGCCGCAGGGGCGGGTTTTCGGCGGCCGGTCGGCGCTCCGGCGGGCTAGCAGCTTGTGGTGATCTCCCTGTAAAAACATAGGCGGCGGAACGGGGAGGGCACTGGGGCACCGTGCCCCCCTTTGATTTTGGCATTTTAACATTAGCCCTATGGACGTTGCATGGAAAGAATGGGACCAAAAGTCGGCAGTCCCCCCCCCCGACAGTCCCCCCTTAATTGAAGGTTTTTCGCCGCTGCTGCTGGATGTCACTGCTGTTTTTCCTAGTATTCAAAAGAAAAGATTCAAACATAGGCATGCATGCGCCAGTCTCGTCATCTGATAAAAAATAATAGCCACGCTTAGGTACCGTTTTACTTATCATATTGACATCTCATTTACACATCGAATTCCTGCGCTGAAAATGTAGGTAACTGATATTTTAAAACATAAAATCTTATTATAGGTATTTGTGTGTGCTCAGGAAGCATAAACGGTTCATCAAAGGTCAACTCCGACAACGCATTGTAACTAGGCATAGGTTTAGTTAGGTACCTATACCTACCTAGGATCTACCGATTATTTTAGTCGCAGGAACTGTGAAACAATGAGCTGGTCAGTTAACCTGACCTGCTTGGCTTGCCGCTCCTGCACATCGTGTCCCACGAGTGGCCTGTGCGGAACAGGCCGAGAGCTATCAGCAGAGACATCTGTTGGTGGATAGCGGAACCAGTAACTGAGCGCGGCCGTGGCGGCCCCTGGGTCAGACGCCTTGGCTGCCGACAATGGGCGATTACCAGACATGACTCACTAGTCACTCTCATCCAATAACACGCCTGCATTGCTGCGCCCTCCCCACCACTAATGCCGAAAAGCGTCACGCTTCCAATGAGTCCATTAGTCAACGCTCGGGAAACATCGCGCTGGGGGCACTGCATTGTAGCAATTGAATTGGATCGTTCGTAAATCGTTATGATGTTCTTCATCAAAGTAAAAACAGAGCCGCAGGTAGAAAGAAGGTACCCAAATAACCATAATATCAAGTGTAACCGCATTGATATAGAATTGAAATTCCTAGCTCAAGTTGTGGCAGTTTAGACACGTACCTACCTTTCGTTAAACTTTGAGCACCATTTATCCTACCTACATAGGGCTAATTCCCCGTGTTGAGCTGCGTTAGGCCGTTGACAACTTGAACATCGGCCTCTTTTCCTAAAACAAAATGGGCAGATTAAATCTCGTTTACCCTGCTAAAACCTGACCTTCACTTAACCCTCGCCGGACCAATTGGTTTTCTACATACGCGCCGGCCGAGGGGGGGGGGGGGCGGGTAGGACCCCCCCCGCCGTTTCGCCCCTGGTGGAGCTAGCGCGTCGCGGAAAAAAACGAGCGTGTGCGCCGTTACGAGACGCAGAGATTGGTACCCGATTTTAAGGTCCCAGGTTAACCGGTGACCTCTGAGGTCAGGTCAAGTGCCCCAAGGTACGGTTCAGTTTTTGGTGAATAACTTCGCAAAAAACGGCTGCAGAGCCGCGATTTTGGCAACATCGTGTTCGCCTTGCTCAGGCGCGTCGAATGGTATACTGTTTGTCCGGGTCAGGTCAACTTGGGGTGTTGACCTCAGGTCAAGGTCAGGTCAGCACCCCCAGGTCACGAAGCTGGTCGAAAGAGGTCATGTCGCATATCATTCGATTCGGCAGGTCTTCCTGAGTCCATTGGTGGCTTTCCCGACTCGCTAGCTCAATTTGATCAAGAGTTATTGACGAAAAACTAATATGACCTTGATGACGTCATAAATGACGTCACGCAAGGTCAACATTGCAAAAGTGACGCATCTTACCTTGCAAGGAGTGCATAAAATCACGATTCTATCACGATTCTGTGTGCTTGAGGTAGTTGGAGATCGTTCCCGGCGCCAGAATAGCAGTTTGTATTTTTCCCCATTGACTTATAATGGTGAGGTCACGAAAATGACCTGACCTCATATGACCTTTAGGAAAAATCCGAGATATACAAGTTTTGAGACGCATAATGGATACTAGATCCTGCAAGTTTCATTTCCCTGTGACATCTCCTCTGGCAGTGAGGGCGTTGCGAAGTTGCGACACCTGAAGACCGTGCAGAGGTTCACTTATGACGTCATAGGTCAGTGACCTGACCTGACCCAAAAATGCGGTTGGTGTCAAAAGATCCGGCTTGAATCAAAGATCAGGTATGCTAAGTTTCAGCTCTCTGTCGCCAGTGTCCTCGGAGCTATCGCGAAAAAAAAACCCTATATGGGGGGCGGCACCCGCCCCCGCCCCCCTCGGCCGGCGAGGGTTAAGGTCGGCCAGAGGGGGTTACATTAAATTTTAAAGATGAAAAAGCGTATGACATTGCCGCCCGCTATACCTACGTTCTTTTACGCGATAGCTCGGAACACCATTGGGATAGAGAGATGCAATTTAACCCTCGCCGACCGAGGGGATGGGGGCGGGTGACGCCCCCCCCCCCCCCCCGCCCAGGAGGATTTTTTCGCGATAGCTTAGGACACGCCGGCGATAGAGAGCTGAAACTTGGCATATTGACCTTTCATTCAAGCTGGTTCTTTTGATACCAACCGCAACCGTTCTTTTGATGGATTGCATGATGTTATGGGCGCCTACAATTTGTATATCTCGGATTTTTTATATCCGTGACCTAAGGTCAGGTCAGTAGCGTGACCTTTCCATTACAAGTCAATGGAGAAAAACGAAAATGCCTCTAGATCCGTGTGTAGTGTGTACGCATAGGAACAGTCCAACTGATTTAAGAATCACAATTATTTGGACCACCCGTGACGACCAAGGTGTCTTTTTTGCTGATAGCCTATAGAGAGGTCATCCGAGGTCATTTGAGGCTACAAACAGATTTTTGCCAATAACTCTCGATTGGAAAGAGATAGAACGCTGGGAATGGCCTCATTGTGTTTGTCTTGCCGGAACGCATCGACTGATATGCAACATGACCTTTTCCGGTCAGGTCATGACCTTGACCTGAGGTCAAATTTTCAAGTTGACCTTTCAAGGTCAAATTATAGTTC